ATCAACACCCATGGTGAGCTTCTTGGTATCAAGAACGAAGGGGTTCTTGCCCATCCTCTTCAACATCGGGTTATAACGATAGATCGGGAAGTAGCCGGAAGCAGCAACGGTCGCCTGATGCTGCATAGTGTGGGTCATAGCATCAAGGTTCTTATGCTCAATGCAGGGAGAGTAAGCCACGATAACAGAGCAACCATCATAATCCTCGGCCTCGGAGAAAGCCTTCAAGGTCTGATCGTAATTGGCACCCATTGAAACACTGGCAACGTACACAGTGCCATAATCCATAGCCATTTCAGCCAAATTCTTCTTCTCGACTTCGTGACCCTTGGTCGCGAACTTGGCAACAGCACCGATGGGAGTAGCCTTGGACTTCTGACCACCAGTGTTAGCGTAGCACTCAGTATCCAAAACCAAGACGTTCAAGTCCTGGCCGGAAGCAATGACGTGATCGAGTCCACCATAACCGATATCATAACCCCAACCATCACCACCGATGATCCAGTTAGAGATCTTAGGAATCAAATCGGACACATCAAGAATCTCCTGAATAGCAGGATCCTTACTGGCTTCGGCCTTGAGAAGAGGCGGGAGAGACTTGGAAAGAGCGGCGCACACAGAAGGATTCCTGAAGTTCTCAACCCACTCATTCAACTGGGTGTACAACTCAGGCGAGAGCGGACTATCCTTTCCTTCGAGAAGAAGTTCCTGTACACGAGCCTTGAGCGCCTTACGACGGACAGAGGTGGTCACAGCCATACCCATACCATATTCTGCAGCGTCTTCGAAAAGACTGTTGGCCCAGGCGGGACCAGTCCCATCGTATCTCGTAGTGAAAGGAGTGGGACCGTAAGGAGCACCCCAGATACTGGAGCAACCGGTAGCATTGGCAATCACCATGCGGTCACCGAACATTTGAGTGAGAAGGCGAACATAGGGAGTTTCACCACAGCCAGCACAAGCACCATGGAACTCGAGCAAAGGTTGGTAGAACTGACTGCCCTTGAGGGTGGTTTTATCAAACCTTGAAGATCGATCAGGGAGACTCACAGCATACTCCCAGTTTGGCTTTTCGATATCCTCGAAATCAGCCAAGTGCTCCATTCTTAGAGCATCATAGGGGCATGCGTTAACACAGGTCTCACAACCAGTGCAATCCAAGGGCGAGACCTGGATCCTGTAGTGAAGACCGGCAACCTCGGCACCACCCTTGGCTTTACGACTATCAAAGGTACTCGGCTTGGCATCATCCTCAGCTTGGGACAACAAGAAGGGTCTGATGCAAGCGTGAGGACACGACATAGAGCAAATATTGCATTGAGTGCACTTGTCCATATCAACGATGGGGATCATCAAGGCAACTCCACGCTTCTCGACCTTGGCGGTTCCAAGAGGAACCTTACCACCGACGAGTTCGTCGTTGGCAAAAGCACTAACTGGAATATCATCCCCGCGTTGGAGAGCAACTGGAGCCTGGATATTCTCAGTGAAACTTGGTTTATTGATAGCACTCTTCTCCTTAGCCAAGTTACCAAGAGCGTCATGGTAGTTTTGCTCAAAGCGGAGCATACTATCCGAAAGATTCTTCCAGTCAGCAGGAACCTTGATCTCAGTGATCGCATCAAGAGCCTCATCTATCATCTCGTAGTTCTTCTGGACAACAGCTTCTCCACGATGACCATAACTCTTCCTGATGGTATTCTTGTACAAAGCAATGCACTCCTTGAAGTCCATCACATTAGCGAGCTTGAAGAAGACAGCCTGCATAACAACTATTAATCATGCGGCCCATACCACACTT